TCTCATTCTTTTCACACTTTCAGCTAGATATACAGTCTTTTTCTGTTTTGTTTTGTTTTTTTTTGCATGGAAGCTTTATTTGAAATAGCGTTTACAAGTCTACATCTATAACGCCTTTAGGCTTCTATGTCTACATCTTCTTGTCGACAATGCAAGCCATGAGTTAGAAAGCTACAAAATACATGCATGCTGCCTAATTCCCTTCCCTTCCCGTCAATTTACTCAGTGTAGACTATACTGAAATTCGATATCATTCAGCACAATAAATGTTAGACCAAATGGACAATTATCTTAAAATCATCACGGGAAGAAGCTACAGTTGCCTTCAAATCCCGTACAGGCATGAATTTTTTTTTATTCCTCATTTTCAGTACTACCAATTGAAGTAGTGTTCATGACTGCGAAGATTGCTATCATATTCACACTGATTCATACGATGGTCATTGAGACTATTATTAAATTTAAACTTCTAATGGTTGGTGAATTTATTATTGAGATTAATTTATTAATTTTTCGAAGTATAGCGACTACATTAGTCATGTTAACAGATGAAAGATCTCCATCTGATGGTAAACATTTAGAAAATATAATTGACGCATGCTTCATTTTACTTCTTGTCAATTCCAGTGTATGTAGCATGATACAAGAAAACAGTTTCTACTATAGCATGGCTACAGCTTGGATTATTTGCGTGCTATTTTCCCCTTGGTGTGAATTTGTATATGTCGTATAATTTTCGTATCGTATAAATTTATCGTATAATATAAGATTTCAAAGCCTTTTCGCTGAAGTACACTATTTCTTCGCGAAGAAGCGTCACTGTTAACAGCGGTTGTGTTATCAGTCCAACAAAAAAGATCAGTGACTGCCAAACATCGAAACAAAAGTTTCGTTAGAGGATAAATCGAGGTCATTTCGTGCAGAGCAAGAAGAATTAGAACGTTGCCCAAAAGATAATAAAACTGACGCCCGCTTCGTTTAATATCTTGCCAATTCAAATTAATTTGTTCTTTATAAGCAGTGCTTATCAGTGTAAGCAATTATTTATAAAAAATATTTTATGACGAAAGTGGCGAAAAAAAAAAACATTAACGATCTTTTTCGACACTTTCAGAGCAACACTTATCCAAGGAAGTTTAAGGAGGCTTCATAAGGTTTTTGCTCAATGTTGGCGCGCGCGCCAGCGTAATGTTATTCTAGAAAATTTCGATGTTTTCGCTTTTCAAGGTCACTAAAAGCCATCAAAAGGCAATGAGTCAGGTTCGGACTATCGTTTACTGTAGTAAACATTATCAAAATGATTTTCGTTTTCAAGTTGAAGTTCCACGAAGGGAGGCGCTCGCCAGCTATAATTTGGCTTTGCCTTTGATTTTCTTCAATTTGCTTCGGTGAGATCTCTCAAAATTTTCACAGTTTTGTGAAGATTTTCCTGCTGATCATTTATGAGCCGAAAAAAATAGGGGTCACAAAAGTAGTTTCCTCCTTATTTGCAATTTTGTGTTTTCTTTCTCTATCTCAAATTTGGTCTTACTTTTTTTTATCAACAAGCACTAGGAAGGGCACGAATATGTTTAACGGTCCAGCAAATCTTAGGAAATTCCACCCAAGGAAGCGCGATAAATCTTATTCCAAAGATACTTATTTTCTTCGTCCAAAATATTATGTAATGGTATAGAGCTTCGCTAAGATCAGTATCTGGGCATGCGTAGACTTTTAAATCTGTCGCCTTCTGGCAATCTTTCCTACTGTGTTCTCTTTTCCGTTGACCTCTTTTCAGGCGTAGAAGGCCTAAGAATATTACGAGTGCTTTTGCTGGAAACCCTAGATTTTATTGCATAAAGACTTAATTGTATTATACTGTTTTTAGTACACCTTTTCAGATAACAATCGTGCTATCGCATCGAGCCGCCATGTTTGTTTTGCATGTTGACACTTTTAAAGCTCGTGCTATGTTTGCATCCAGATCTCGCGCGGTCAAAAAACCCTATGGAGCCTCCTTGGGACGTGTACAGCTCCTTGTTGCACGCTGCACTCTAACCATTTCTTTTATAACATCTTTCGTTTCGTTTAGGAAAACAAACTGACGTCAGCATGCAGCCCACAGGCAAATCGATCAAGCGTATCAACCAGTCAGAGCGCGCGCTTTTATAAAGCTAAGTCATCAGTCAATATCGTTCAGCGCACCAAATGGTAGTCTAAATGGACAAATATCTTAAAAACAACACTGAGTGAAGTCAGCAGCCCGTCCA